ACCCCCTCAGGCCCCCCAACGATACCAGAATCTGAAAGTCTGAGAACCAAAATTGTTCCACAGTGCCAAATCAACAGTACGAATCACCTCGACAACGGCAATGCAGGCTCGGATGATGACCACCTCGAGAAGAGCACAGTGCCCCCAGCTCCACTATCTGCAGGCAATGATGGCGACGAGCCCGAGTTTGTATTGAGTGCTACTGGAAGCGATCTCACTGCCTCATTATCTTCTGGACGGCTATCGGCTGGTCTCAGGTCACGAAATGCGTAGCAAATTACCAGGCATGGTTGTATTGGCGTGTTCCAAAGTCGGATGTCAATAGACCATGCTATGTAGATGCAGATTTTCCTAACTTGTTCCACCGATAGTCAATGTAATCCTTTCATGATCAGACAATAGGAACATCGATTCCGTCTCAGCAGCAACCGATAAGTACGAACACTCGAGACACATACTCCTATGGGCCGCCAGACCCATCGTTCCAGAACAAATCAGTCTGATTACAGAGTTGTACAAGCCACGGCAACCCTACGGTGAAGACTGTCTCTCTGGCCCATTTCCCGGTTGATACGCGCTGTCTCTCGCACTGTTTCTGCCGGCCTCTCTTCGAGTGTTCTGCATTCTGGCTCTGTTCCTGGTTCTGACTGTGAATCCGTGTGGACAGCACTCAGGCCAGGATGGGTGATCGGGTCGAACATGCGCAGCAGGATGAACGCAGCCTTTTGGCATGTCGCTCTCGCCTGTGGTTGCTGAGCTTGCGTTAGTGACGATATCAACAGGACTATGTTTCCTGCTGCATCTGTAGATTGGAACATACCCCGGATTCATAGTCTGAGGGGAGTCAGCCGCAGTGACATGAGTCCAACGAACCATGGGATCGCTGCTATGAACGAGGGTGCGGCCGGATCGTTGAGCTGCTAATCCATCCTGATACTCCGTTGACATCGCTCGGAGATGGTACACCCCACCCCCACCCGTCATTTTCATCTGGACTTGAATGAGATCAGTGATGTCGACAATGGAATCAACGCCTTCTGGCAGGAGCCACTTGTCCGCCCCGCTGGAAACGACTTCAGACGCGATCGTCATTTTGTTTGAAGATAAGTTGACCGTCGTTACTGCCGCATTCAGATCAAGTGGCGTTTCATTATTCGTCTTCTGTGGATAGAAAGACGCTGAGACGGCGGAGTGGAACTTTTTCCTCCTTTTGATGAAAGCGGTCTTCTGATAGCGATCTCCAAAATCATTGGTCGGTCCCTCTGCCTGGCTCTGCAAGAGAGCTTTTATCTCACTCGTCAGACTCTTAGTCGTGTCAGAATATCCAAAGCGGTCTTCCTTGGAGCAGGCTCTCGTAGGTTGGCCGGAAGTCCTGCCGGAAGCCATGGGTCCGTCCAGGCGCCTCGCGCTTATAGGCGCTAGGCTTGGGTCCACATAAGCAGCCAAGGGGTTCGGGTACGGGCGGATGCTGCTGTTCATTGCTGATGTCGTTGCGAGCCCGCTGTGAGCGAAGTTGTCCTGATCTGAATGCGCAGCAGGGGCTAACAGGCGATAAGCAGGTGTCTTTGTAAGATTACTAGTAATGTTGTGGTCAGGGTAGATTCTTGGCGACCTTTCGTTCTGGACTGTATGTCTGCCGGGCGAAGTGCTCTGTTACGATGTCGGTAGATGTAAGGTAGCGGTTGCTAGAGTCAATTCATTTTGAAGATAGGGACTCGCCTGAGCCGACAGAGTCGACTTCTGACGGTCGACTTGAGTCTGCTGGGTGAGATGATAGTACGACTGAGCTGCCGTGGCGTACGTTTGTTGCGTGTACATATCCGACACGGGACTATGCCCTCCTCCAGGAAGATGCCCAGGAGCGAACTGATATTCAGTGCCACGATGCTCTCCCTGCTGAGCCTGGCAGTCCCACGTTTTGGGGGCTGATCGGGGACGAATATTGACCGACCGTGCGTCCATGTTGTGCTGTCTCGGCGCTGATGTGGAACGATCTGTGTCCCACAGTGGCTATCCCGCTGGGTGGTGCCCTGCAAACACACAATCTAATGCATTAGTGTTGATACCCTTTACCTAGGTCCTTAGTAACTGTCGGTGTACAGAGTAGAACTAACCCGTGGTCTTACCACTCGCTTGGCAGATCACTTGCACATTGCGTGGTCTGCGCTTCATATTCAGCAACTTCTTCTCGGCCTGGCGCTACCTCCTCTTCCCCGTCTAGATTGAAAAACAGCGACTCCTCGTCAGCGTAATCGCAATTTTCGTCCATCTCGTTTGACTGAGAAGGATATGACCGAGCGGACTGCAGTATTCTGAGACTCACGATAAAGAGGAGACTATCGGTATCTGGTGTGCTCTAATAGAAAGATCGGACCCTCTAGATGTGTTGGCGGTGCAGCGTGCGAGCCTTCTTGCTCTCGTTGAATCTGCGCCTGGGGGCGTATATCTGAAGGGATATAGCCATTGTTCCATCTGAACTTCGATGAAAGGATGCACCAGTCGTCTGCAGCATTATTCTGACAAGCCGGAAGCAATACGGTACAGCCTCTTTGAAGTCTTGTTATTGCAGTCCTCTGAAATCGTGTTGGTGAAGCTTATAAAAAGCTTTCACGATCAGCACTCTTGCTCCATAAACACTCCCACCACAAGCAGCTCAACAGCTCACAGCGGTCATTCTTTCCGAAGCAGTGCAGGTGTGCATGACCTTCCATACATATATCATACATATATATTGTGATATAGGCAAGGAGCATCCGCTTCACTTCTCCAACAAAAAGGATCTGTCTCCAATCACGGTCACCAATATGGGATGGTGGAAGACCGCGGAGGTCATTGACGTTGTCGGTCATCGGGCCCCAAATGATACACATGCCAAGAGCGCGGGCACCGTCTCATTCGTGCGTTGGGAGGGGGACGGACTCTGCAACGGTGCTCCTGTTTGGTCGAGCAGACGGTCGTTTCTTCACTCTATCACTCAAAACGCCTGTCGAACTGCTGCTACGAGTGGTCCCCTTCCTGTCCTTCCGGGTCCTGTCCTTCCGGCGTTGTGCTGCGTTTCTGGCATTGTACATGTTGTTGTGAGGACAGCATTCTCCATCAAAATGTCTTCGGCGCGCTCTCATCTGTGCGGCTGGATGCATACATCTGTCCGAAGGGTCGAAATGTGAGAGTGGGCGATTACTTGCAGATAAATCAGGCGGGAATTGGTGGCTGCATCTGATCACGGGTAGATAGCCCTGCTGTACCGAGGCAAGATCCCGAGCGGCAGTAAGCTTGACCCAGTAGTTCTCGGAATCGCTCTCACAGACAAGGATGGGCTGGGTAATGACTTGAGAAAGAGCCCCAGGCCGGTCATGGACGGCATAAGATTGCGGAACATAGTCAACCCCTGTTTTGGCCCGCAAAATTGTCACCCCATTGTCTTCTGCGATCTCAACGCAGTTCTCGTCGACTATTGACCTGATTTCAGTGTCCTTATTGGCGAGTATCCATTTATCTGCAACCGTAAAATGCAGCTCCGATGTAGTCATTCCTCGCAGCTCATGTCGAATATCATCTTCCCCCCCAAACAGATCTCGGGTTTTGTTGACGAACTTGTCCAGCCTTCCTTTAAAGGCCTTACGGGTGAGCTCGAGCCTAGCGCGATCGCTAGTCGGTCCTTGGGAGTGCGCCTCCAGAATAGTCTGCTCAACCTCGGACGCCATCGCATCTGGTTTATACCAAGGCTGTTTCGCCTTTCCTTGTACGGAAAGACTGATCTCATTCGGTTGCTGTGAGGAGCCAATGGATTGTTGCTCTGATTGACTTCGCAGCCAGGGCAGCGGTGAGTGCAAGGGGGGCGACGTCTCTTTGAAAGTGCCATCGTTTGACGCTTCATACATGCTGGGATGATTCATGTGGGCCTCCCATGAGTTCGAGTTGTAGTCAGCATGATGTCCACTGACGGGTTCGATACACGGATGTGTTTCGTTTGGCACCGCTGTTGCCATGTTACTGGAGAAACCCCAGGGAAGGCTCGACCGAAGTGCGGGATCAACGTGAGTCCTGGACAAGTACTGGCGCTCAGGGGCCGTGTCGGCAAGGCTCGGGACTTGGGTTCTCCCGTAGAAATACTGCTCTGAACTGTGACGTGGGTCTTCGTAGTTCGTTCCATCGTCTAACGCGTCAGCTTGCGACTCATAATAGCCTCCTCGCCCATAATGGCCGCCTGGTTGAACGTAGTACGGATGAGAGGGCGATTGACCATAGAAATTGTGCGGCACAGAGGACAAATTCGACAATCCCGTCGATGCAGCATGATGGCCGTAGGTGGCATTCGTCCCAAAATCGAGGGAGTCGAGTGCTGGCGCTGATCCCCAGTCTTGAGGATTGGGCAGATTGGGACTAGTGTTCACAATGCGTGCAGACATTTCCGCGCTGGGCGGGGAGATACCAATCAAGAAGCCTTCACGATCAGCACTCTTGCTTCTTATTCACTGTATACTCGTAACAGCCTCGAGCCATGAAAGACTCACGTGGGTGCCTCGTCACTTGGGACTGTCTGTCCCCCTTCGGCGGTACGTACGGTGCTGACTGGTACGTCCAGCCACACCTTGGTAGAATCGTATCGGTGAGTCATCTTGCAACGTCGTACTATTGCATAGATTTGGCTGTGAGACGGCAATAAGATTCAGTGGGACCCAAAAAGCATTCCATGACAGGTACGTCTGGGTCGATGTTCCGGGGTGTCTCAAGAAGGTGTCGTCCTCAGGTTAGCACCACATTGTCCTGTGTTATGCACAGTACTTATATTGTGGCGGATCAGCATCTTTCAAAGGATTCCAAGAGAACGAGAGATTTGGCAATCCGAAGTGGGGGTCCTGGTCGGGCGCTCGTAAGATACTTCTTGGCCCTTTGTCGACCTTTGTTCTGAGTCGAAGAGGCCACAAATGACGAGGTGCTCTTTGGGTCTGGACAAGGTGTGTGACGAAGCCATGGGCTGCTGAGCTCTCAGGAGCCAAAAACTTCAGTACCCGGGATTCCCATCTGGTCCCCCACGATGGTACTAACCGAGCGACACTGAGCTTGAAAATTTCGCAGAGCGGACGGGATGCGATGCTTTCTCAGTCCTATGGCCGAAGATGGAAGTGAGTACCATGTACAGTTATGAAGCAATGAGTGTACAGAAGAAGACCTAGCAGATTGGATGTGCAGGCACACCGGGATCTTCTTAATCTTCGTAACCGCCGCGCACACGATCTCATGACTCATCCTTTCAACTTTCTTCTCCTCCCTGACTATCAGTCCGTTCCCCAATATCATCAGCCTGTCGGTGTCCGTTCATCTTTTTGGTTCAGTCCGACTGACCCACGCCCCGACAGTCTATCGCCCGAAATCTCTGCTATGTTACAGCGAGGATAGGCTGTAACGCAGTATGCAGGGTCTCAACAGGTCAGCCCGCTCCTTGCACCAGCTCAACATCCCTCCACCCCATTGTGAACCCTTTGAACTGACTTCAACGTCTCGAACACACAGATATATCCCGCCGGACTATGATCCGAAGAAGAACTCGACGCTCAACTTGTATCAGGGGAAGAAGCATGCTCTGGGGAATCGAGCGAAAGATATCGATAAGGGGATATTGATCGTGCGGTGAGTGAGCCAGACAAAACGGCTTCCTCAGTATCATCTTGAAGAAGGAGCTTGCTGATAGACCTGCTTGTCCTATTTCTTGCTCGTGTGTAGATTCGAGCTGCCTTTCAACATCTGGTGTGGACACTGCAATGCCCATATAGGTGCAGGAGTACGATACAATGCTCGGAAGAGTAAAGTGGGCAACTACTACTCAACACCTATCTATGGGTTCAAGTGTAAATGTCATCTTTGTGATGGATGGTTCGAGATCCGTACGGACCCGAAGGTGAGTGTGCCACCGCCAGGGTCGCGGTACGTTCGACGCCGTGCCGTTTGATAGGACGTGCGCTGACACAGATTGGTTGGCTGTTTCGCAGAACGCTGCGTATGTGGTACATGAAGGGGCGCGAAAGAAGGACGAAGATTGGGATCCGGAGGAGAATGGTGGTTTCGCCGTTCATGGTGAGTCTTGCCTCTCCAATTGCCACAGCATCACGCAGAACATCACTTTCTTCGATTGCCCGGATCCTTGACGATGAGCTGTATGGACCTGTTGGAAACGCGTTCTAACTCGACAATCTCACAGACACCGAAGCGCCTTCTGCCTCCCTTCCGCCCGCAGACCCGTTCGAGGGGGTCGAGAAGACCATTGACCAGCAGAAATGGGCCGCCCGGGGAACTTCCCGACTGACCGAGTTGACGCGCGCATCGGAACGGCTAAGCGGCGATCCATATCTCATATCATCGGCCTTACGACGACGTTTCAGAGAGGAGAAGAAAGTGTTGCTGGAGAAGCAAGGGAAAGACGATGATATCAGGACTAGGTATGGATTGCATGAGGATGTTGATCTCGGCATGGAGGACGTGGAGAAGGGTAGAGAGATGTGGATTGCGCAGAGGGAGAACAGGGGATTGTCAATCGACGCACCCACATCGGCTGGAACCCAGGCCTCAGAGAACGCTGAGCGAGGTTCACCGACACCCAGAGCTATCAACAGTTACCATGGCAAGGGAAAAGGAAAGCTGGTGGACACAGGTAACGGATCGCCTAGCTTGGGGGAGGTGTTGCGAAAAACGACAGCGAAGAAGTACGATCCATTCGCCAATACGTCTTTCACCAGTCCAAGCGCTACACTCAATAAGGCAGTCACTGGGCATGGTTTGGATAAAGTCAGAGTGAAAGGGAGAATCAAAAGCAATGTTCTGAGTGGGCTTGTTGGCAAGTCAAGTCCGATGGGGAGCAAGGAGAAGAAGAAGGAAGCGAATGATCCGGCCGCGGGCGTTGGATTAGCTGGCGGTCTGTTGGCTGGCTACGGCAGCGATTAGTCCGCATGCTATACTTGCTGTATCCATAGTCCACAATCTGTTGTAGCCCAGCTTCATCACCATCAAGCTGCCCATGTATCATAGCACAGGTCACGCGCATCTTTGAGCTGCATTGATCCCGATTATTATTGTGCAGGCGTGCTTGGTCTGTTCGTTCTGATATGATTTTGCATGTTCGATGATGTTGATGGCATGATGACTAAATATCTCGCTTACGTTTGATCGTATTGTATCTCCTCAACCCTTCATGCTCGTTGCGTATACCCCACTTCAACCCAGCTCGCCGAGGATTGACGCGTTTCGCCCTCTGTCGCCCCAAGTGTACTATTCAATCGAGTTTCACTCAATAAATAGGCGGGAAAAGCTTGTACCTCTTGCCAGGGAATACCTTGGGGTCAAACTCTTTCTTGTATCGAGCATACTTCTGGTCCGCCCAGGTCTTCATGAATGAACCACCGATGAGGAGATACACGACAGCTAAGGGTTTCAAATGATTCGACTATCAGCGTTATTTTCCATCGGGGAAGGCAAGATTGATAGTCTCTTCCAGAGACCTGACAACCTTTCTGACCAGAGCCGATGAGCGATCAGACTCACTGCCGATGTCACCGAAGGTGATGATGACCAAGGCGAGAACACCGAGGAGCTCGAACCAGTAGTTGGCACAGACCGCGGTACCGAAACCAAAGCCGGTAGGGAACTTCCTGGGTTGCCCAGGAGGCTGTCGGAGAGATCGAAGGTGGAGATGAGACCCGAGGTTGAGGAGCTCGGCGGTCTATAGGAGAAACGCAGTCAACCGAGAAGAGTGCGATCAGCTGTACTTGTCCCCTCAGAATGCGGTCTCACAGAAAGCTGACGTACCAGTTCGAAGACAGTCCAGAACCCGATCCACTTAGGATTGTCGAGCAAGGTGCCCCTGAGGGCGGACGCGGAATATCCAGGTCGGTAGAGGGTGGTGCCGATAAGGAAGCCGCAGATACCCCAGTAGTAAAGACAGCTATGATCCGCGATAAGGTCAGCTTTTCGCGCCTTCTCGAAAAATGACCAGAAGCTGACAACACTCACTTCCTGAACACGAAAGAAAGAGGAACGGTTGCTCGCGAGAATCGGTGAACGAACGCCGACTCCAGGAATCGCTTAACGAAGTGGATGATGATAAGGTTTCGCACAGTCCTACAATCGAGGAATACAGAAAAAGATTGTCAATACATGAACGACCCTTTACAGCTAGCAGGACAGAATGTCACTTACAGCTGGAGGTTGGAAGGCTCGTACGGACCCCAGATGAGGTAGGAGAAGTGCAGTAAGAGCGGGTTGAGGAAGATGGGTCCAACCTGTGAACATCGTAGTCCAGTATTAGCCAATGAAACCAGCTCGTTATTCGGTGCAAGCAATGTATTACGTTGTGAACTCACATATTCCCAGAGGTAGAGTACCCTGTACCCGACTTGTCTGCCGAGGTCCTTCAGCTTGAGCTTCGCACCATCGCCAACATTGTAGGACGCAAGGGACTGGGACTCATCGGTGAGAGGGATAGGCTTGCCGGAAGTGGAAGGAAGAAGGAGTCGTTGCCGATTAGGAACAAGCTGGAGAAGCGATATGAGGTCAGTTATGCTGACCGCTCGAAGACGGTCGTGTGCTCATAAGGTCTCGGACGATAGCACCAGTGCCATGAGTGCATGGCCTCCAGCTACCTGACCTCAGGCTGCTACCCTGATCCCGACGCATGATAAACTCACCTTGGGAAACTTGGCCTGAACAGCAATCTTGACATCCTTGACAGTGACATCTCCTGGGTGTTTTCCCGCGAAGTCGAGATTGATCGTGGGCTTGCCCGGGACGGAGACGGTGATAGCTACCATCTTGCGCTACTTGCCCTTTTGATGAGATTGGAGTCCGAACAGGTGGAAGAGATGAGCAGAGCGAAAGAAACACACATAGGACCGAGAGTGAGAGAGAGATACGTTGCCAGTATAGACTTAGACTGCAGTGTTCTTCATGGTCATACGCGTACCTACGGTATTTCTATATTGACGCGCGAGTTTTCAGGAATTTCAGGCTACAAGCTGGTTTTCAAGAAAAATTCATGGATACCACGTGGTTTTCGAAATTGTCAGGACTTCACGTTCAACCTGCCTCAATTCGAAATCGAAAAGTCCGACGAGACATCTTCACTGCACCTCCCTTACTGTACTGCTAATTGACGATCTACAATAAGCTGGTTGACCTTGATCTTGCTGCATTTCTTACAAGTTCGTTCAACTCCAGAGTCATGGCGTCCGTCTCACGCTCAGCACTGAGCACGGCTCGCTCGGCAACCCGAACGTCTCTCGCTTCCACCTCTCGTCTCGTCGCCGTCAGAAGCTACGCTTCCCCCTCAACCGCCCGGAACGATGAACAAGGCCAGATGATGTTTGGTGGCCCTCCACCTGCGAGGAAAGACGAGGGAGCTGTTCTGAAGAGATATACTGGAAAGGGATACCCCTTCATTCCTGTGAGCATGAGCTTGCCTGTGGAATCGTTACGGATCCAGCGAAACCGGTCGCTCTTCCATTCCGCTGTGTCGATCATCACGATATGGCATGTGGAAGGAGTATGATGAAGATCGCGATGCTGAATGATTAGTAACCTGGCTTCACCTCTTTAGTCCCTCCGACATGTCGTCTACCCCTTCCACCCTCACTTGCACAAGGGTGGACCTCTTCGAGAACTGACCATACCACTTCGAAGGAAAGGAGGACGAAACAACACTGGTCGAGTGGTCAACCGACACGTTGGAGGAGGACATAAGAGACGACTCCGAACGGTCGACTTCCACCGAGTAGAAGGAGGCGAGCACGATGTCGTTCGAATCGAGTATGATCCCGGACGCTCGGCGCATATCGCTCTGATCAAGAAGAGGGGCACCAAGTCCGAGCCCGGATTGGTCGCTCTCAGTCCTGATGAGGCTGAAGATGCTCTCGACGAGGAGAACAGGGGCACACAGAAATCATTGGAGGCTGTGAAGGCTGGATGGAGCTATATCGTTGCACCCGAGGGGCTGAGGGCAGGAGACGTTGTCGTGTCTTACCGAAAAGGTATTCCTGAGAGCCTTATCCAGCAATTCGACCAGACCACGGCTCTGTCAGGCAACTCATCGGCAACGAAAGCCTCTTCGTCCAAAGTGGGTGCTACCGACA